TAGTTGCCACATACTTTACAACTCTGGAAGGTCTTTGGGAAGAACTTGACCATCACTTGATATTAGATTGGGAAAATGCCAGGGACAAGGAGAGACATGATAAGCAGATTGAAGAGAGCAGAGCCTTCAAGTTCTTGGCTGGTTTGGACCCAATGTATAAGGGTATAAGGTAACAGATTTTGGGGAGAGATGAACTGCCCGAGTTACACCATGTTTATTATCTGGTGAGGAATGAAGAAGTCAGGAGAAAGGACATGCAAGTTTACTCCCAGACTCAACAAACTGAACAATTTGGAGAACATTCAGCCCTGGTTTCTACTAAGGGAAACAGACATCCAGACAAGAAGCACCTCAAGTGTACTCATTGTGGTGGTGAGAGACATGTAAAAGAAAAGTGTTGGGTCCTGTACCCTCACCTAAAGCCAGCTGCATTAAGGACAAGAAACAATAGAAGGGTCATGCGGCAAGTGGGAATCTTGTCACCAGCAACAATGGGGACAACTCACAGAATATACCAACAGTGTCTTCTTCTCCTATGGGACAGGTTGCTGATTCCTCTGGAACAAATGCTTTGGGCTTCACTGCTAGTGAGGTAGAGGTCCTTAGCAGGGCATTAGCCTGTCTAAGGAATAATTCTTTTGCTACCACATCTCTTGCCAGATCAGGTACAGCCTCTGCCTTCAGTGCCACTGGCTCTATTGACTCTACTTCTTGGGATATTGATTCCGGTGCTACTAACCACATGACACATATGTCCTCCCTATTCTCTTCATATCATTTGTTGTCTGGTCAGGATAAGATGAGAGTTGTTGAAGGGTCTTTCTCCACCATCCATGGAAAGGGGGTGGTTGACCTAAGCAAGGACCTCTCTCTTAAATCAATTTTACATGTTCCCAGTCTTACCACAAATCTTATGTCTGTTTCAAAACTTACCAAAAATTTGAACTGTAGTATAACMTTTTTTCCTACTCATTGTGTCTTCCAAGACAGATTGACGAGGAGAACGATTGGGAGCGGTCATGAGTATGGAGGCCTCTACTATTTTGATGCARAYATCGGTTCAGCCTTACAAGCATCTGCTGCTAGTAGTCCGGAGAGTGTGGAGTCAATAGCTAGGTTGCATCTTTGGCATGCTAGACTAGGTCATGGGTCTTTCTCTTCATTAGAAATGTTGTTTCCCGAATTGTTTAAGGGAATTTCAAGTCAAATTTAATCTGTGAAGTATGTCAAATGTCAAAACAATGTAGAACTGTTTATCCAATTTCCAGTAATGAAATTTGTGCTCCTTTTGAATTGGTTCATTCTAATGTCTAGGGCCCTTCACCCATTGTTTCTATTGATGGCTTCCGGTACTTTATGAGTTTTATTGACCACTACTCTTGATGCACATGGATCTACCTGTTAAAAGGACGGGATGAAGTACCACGGATAACCATGGCATTTTGCAAGATGATTGAAACACAGTTTAATAAGAAGATTAAGCAATTCAAGTCAGATAATGCTGCTGAATACTTTGAAAAATCCTTGAACTTATTCATGGAAGATGCTGGCATATTACATCAGTCATCCTGTGCTAATACCCCTCAGCAGAATGAGGTTGTTGAGCGCAAGAATAGACATCTATTGGAGACAGCTCGAGACTTACTATTCCAGCACAAAGTCCCCAAGCAATACTGG